TTTGAGGAAAATTGGAAAGGTGAAGGAAGGGAGAGATGGGGAAGGAATAGAAAGACAGGGAGAAGATAGGAGATAAGAGAGGGGAGTGTGGGTAAAAATTACTGGAAGAAATATGAAGCAAATCACCCTATGAGGTCTTGTGTGAGCTGTTAGGTTCCCTTAAGAGCTTTGAGGCTTCGTGAGGGTTATGGGAGTTTCATTAGGCTTTAGGTTCCCGTAAGAGTTTCGAAGATTTCCATGCGCGCGTGTGTGTGTGTGTGTGTACTCACCTATTTGTGGTTGCAGGGGTCGAGTCCTAGCTCCTGGCCCCGCTTCTTCACCGGTGTGTGTGTGTGTGTGTGTGTGTGTGTGTTGTGTGTGTGTGTGTGTGTGTGTGTGTCTGTGTGTGTGTGTGTGTGTGTGTGTGTGTGTGTGTGTGTGTGTGTATGTGTGTGTTTGTGTGTGTGTGTATGTGTGTGTGGGGGGGGGAATCAGAGTTATTGTGGAGCCAGCTTATGGCCCCAGCTTTCATTGGTCAGTAAACCCGGTTTCTTTAATGCCCGGGGTGTAATGATCGTTGATGTAGTGATGTCCATAAGTGAAGCTAATTATTTCTCGTCTTCTGGCTATTTAAAAAGTTGGGACAAACGGAGGATCTTGAGAACATTGACCTACACAGCAGTAAGGTCACTGACATCTGTCTGCATAAATGACAGGTCCACTCAAGCCGACCAAGGCGACAAATGTCACTCCACAAGGTTCACTCACTTGTCCAGAAGTCTGCGATGGGATGGGGCAGGCAATCCAAGAGAGTGGTGCATACTCAATATAAGAATCGACGCGTGAATCTTACAGAATTTTGTTCAATCTGATGTCGAGAAGTTAGTTATAAGATGTAGGTTTCTTGGCTGTCTTTCTTGTAAGATTCACCAACAGAATTGACAGAATAGTCACAAGAGAATTATATTTCACCTCCAGGATATTTTCTTCCTAGCTGAGTGTTAAATCTCTTTCATTTGTTCCCTCACAAAATCCAACAGTAGCGTTATTTTATCTTGAGACCATCATCATTATCTGAGTTTTCTCGGAAGGAAATGAAATTTGCCATCATTCGCGTTAGGCAGATTTGACTGCAAGTTTGTAATTGATGTCACTGTGGACAGTTGAACATCTCCTCTCTTATGGTAGGAAATGTTACAGTGTACATAGGACAGGGGGCTCCGATGACGATGTGAATTAGGACGCAGAAGCGGCTTGTAGCCGAGTTGTGTACTTCGGGCTCTCCGCCGTAGAACCCGGGATCCATTTCGACCTGGTAGAGACGTAGGGGCAAGCATCTTTACACATGTTAAGAAAAGATACACATTACACAGCAAGCTTTTATTGAAACAATGTTTCACTCTGAGAAGAGTTTTATCCAGTCAAGAACAATTTTTATCAAGTCGTGACTTGATAAAACTCTACACAGAGCCAGAAGTTGTCCTACTTTAAGCTTGTTCTACAACTTGTGTCTTATCTTCTCTATTTTTGGCAATACGTCCGTTGCATCCTCACATTTGTTGCTCCTGATCCCCTAGCAGAAATTAGGTACCTGGGTGTCAGTCAACTGTCGCGGGCGGTTACATAAAACTGGGCTTGGAATTGATCTGAGGTGTGGATAAAAAATGGTCGACATTTTACGAGTATATCAAGAGTCTAAGACTCTTGATATACTCCATCACTTCTTGTGCTAAATGACCCACACGGGTTTAGCGACTCATCTGAATATTGCTCACTTGGCTTTCGTTATGAGGGGATTTCTAATTTACATTTTTTGTTTTCATTTTTCTTATCTCACTCGTCACAAATATCGAGTTTGATACTGCTGCTTATTTAATACAAATAAATTGATTTTCAACACCATTACACAAATTACTAATTTTAGAAAAACGTATAATAAAACAGGTAATTAAATATTTTTTTTCTTTGTAGGTAATTATCCTGTCACACGAAATCCGAGTCTCGACCCTCATGAGCACAGTCTGACTGCTGTTGTTGTGTGTGATCATGTTACTGCCTGACTTGCTGTGTAGAAAGAGCTTGGTCTGGAGTTTACCTGGAGAGAATTTCTGGGGGCAACGCCCCTGCAGCCCGGTCTGAGACCAGGCCTCGTGGTGTACCAGGGTCTGATCAACCAGGCTGTTACTGCTGGCCGCACGTAAACCGACGTAAGACATGTTGAGAGGCAGTTGAACAGTACATATTTTAATCCCTCGCTTTGCTGTGTATAAAATATTTCAGTCCTATATCAAAAGACGAATTAAAAAATAGCCAAAATTGGAATTACAGCCTGGTTGTTCAAGCCTTTTCCACCACGAGGCCTGGTCACAGACCGGGACGCGGGGGCATTGACCCTGAAATTCCCTCCAGATATACATTCTATTAAAATTACTGCTGCTGTTACTATTGCTATTACTCCCACTTCTGCTACTAAAATAACTATCTCTCTGTCTCTCAGTCTCTGTCTGTCTGTCTTTCTCTCTCAGGATCTCGCCGTCAACTGGCCAGCAATTTACTCTATTGAGCTCGATTATTAAACGTCCTATTCAGCCATTGGCTGAGCTCACTTTTATCCACAGATGTTCTTTGGTCCTAAATATGATCACACTAATCTCGTCTGTACATTTCAAACATTCTTCAAGGGAGGGATTGCCTTGGGGCTGGTGCAGGGCTCTCGATCCAAGGAATTAGAGCTACTCATCCTTCCACTGGATTCAACGTGATTGACTCCCACTCCCCAAACGCTGTATGAGCCCTATGGGTTCGGCTTTTCCCCATGAACATAATAATAATAATAATAATAATAATAATAATAATAATAATAACAATAAGTTAAAATACCTAGAAAAGCAGAACATCAACCAACCACCCAAATTGCTCACCTATCAGCCAATATTTTGAGTCAGACAACGATAAAGCATCTGGAGAATAGGAAGTAATCAAGTTTGATCCGAGTCAGGGGGAACTTAAGAGC